CAGTGGAGTGGAGCGTCATCCTGTGCACCAAAAAGTTGCGGGTTTAGTTCCTGGTCAGGGCACATACCTACTAGTAGGTTGCAGGTTCGATCCCAGGTCAGGTGAGTACAAGAGGAAACAGATGAATGTTTCTCTTCACATCGATGCTTCTCTCTCCACCCGCCCCCCTCTAAAAACCAATACAAACATATTTTTAAAAAATATATTAAAAAACAACATGGGAGTCCTGAGCTACCCTGGTAAGGTCAGAAGATTTCATCAACTGAGAAGGAATATTGAAAAAGAGAGTTGGAGAATCAGACTTGAAAGTGTTTATGCCTGTCTGTACCTTCCTAATGCTGCCATAACATTACCACAAACGAAGTGGCTTAAAACAACACAAAATGTATAACCTTACAGTTCTGGAGGCCAGAAGTCTGAAACGGCTAAAATCAAGGTGCCAGCAGAGCTGTATTCCTCTGGGGGGCTCCAGGAAAGCATCCATTCATTGCCTTTTCCAGCTTCTAAAGGCTGCGGCATTTCTTGGCTCATGGCCACCTGACGCTGACCTCTGCTTCCATCATCACAGCTCCCCCTGACTCTGATCCCCCCGCCTCCCTCTCATAAGGACCCTTGTGATCACATTGGGCCCCTCTGGATAATCCGGGATAATCTCCCATCTCAGAACCCTTAATCACATCTGCAAAGTTCTTTTTTGCTACGTAAGGCAACAAATTCACAGCTTCCGGTGATGAGGATGCAAAGATCTTTAGACAGCTATTATTCTGCCTACCACCCTCAGAGAGAAATTATCTAGTGGATTTGAGTGTTCTGGGCCTTAACCATGATCCCTTTCATCTGTACAGTTTTCAGAGTACTGACACAACTTTTTTTTTCTCCTTCTTGCATTGATCCTGGGAAGTCAATGAAGGCGTAGGTGTTGAGGCCATTCTGTAAGGGAAGTAGATGTGATTGGGGGTGGGGGGGAGCACGGTGCCTGGGTTACACAGATAGATGGAGACTAGGGACCGGAGCTTTTAATTCAGCATCTTCCCACCTCATCCCTACCACCCCCAGTTCCAGGCCATGTGCCCCTAGCACAACGTTCTCACTGGTGGAACAGGGCAATTCCTCAGGCACTCCCACAATCCAGAGGAAGGAGCCTCCCAGGTAAGCCAGCTCCCTTGGCCCTGATTCTGCCCTCAGCAAGCAGCCTTCTCCTGACCAGGACAAGGAGGGAGGGAAGGACAGAGGGAGGGACACAGGCAGAGAGCCTTTCCTTTAATGGAGAGCCTGGGCACAGACCCCAGAACTCAGTATCCATCCATCCCAGCGTGACCTCAACAGCAGCCCAGGCAGATGGTCCCAGGGCCTGTCCTGAAACTCCTGTAAAAGGACACTCTGATTCTTTTTCTTTTTTTTTTCCTTTTTAAAAAAAATATATTTTATTGATTTTTTACAGAGAGGAAGGGAGAGGGATAGAGAGTTAGAAACATCGATGAGAGAGAAACATCGATCAGCTGCCTCCTGCACACCCCCTATTGGGAATGTGCCCGCAACCAAGGTACATGCCCTTGAACCTGGGACCCTTCAGGCCACAGGCCGACGCTCTATCCACTGAGCCAAACCGGTTAGGGCTGATTCTTTTTCTGTTTAAAATATATTTTTATTGATTCCAGAAGGGAAAGGGAGAGAGAGATAGAAACATCAATGATGAGAAAGAATCACTGATTGGCTGCCTCCTGCACGCCCCATACTGGGGCTAGAGCCCACAACCCAGGCATGTGCCCTGACCAGGCATCGAACTGTGACCTTCTGGTTCATAGGTCAATGCTCAACCACTGAGCCATGCTGGTTGGGCATGATTCTTAGAAAAGTTGTATAGCAAACCTCCCACCCTGCCCCCCAGATATTGGAAGGCAGCTCCATGAGTCCATTGACCCTCCTCCAGGCCTCTCTCCATTCCATCCGTTATTAATGATCCATGTATACCAGCCACTATTCTAGGAACTGGGGTATAGCCGTGAGGCTGACAGGCAAGGCCCCTGCTCCCCCAGAACTTGTGCGTTCGTGGGGGGAAGACAGACCATACAGGAATATGGGATAAAGATGCTAAGCATTGCAAAGCAGGACAAGACAGACGGTAGAGGGTGATGGCAACTCTGTGAGATTTGCATTGTCCCAACTCTAAGGACAGGGAGATGGCCTAGGAAGCAGCAATGCTGAGATGCAAACCCACATTTTGCATCAAAGTCCCCTAGCTCCTAACCCCTACTCTGTGTGGCCCCCGGAAGGGAATGAGAGCAATTTCATCCCTGAGGCTGAAATCCTGTCTTCCTGGAAACAGTGTCCAGCGGTGGCCTGACTCCAGGAAGATTCCTGCTCCATGTGAGCTGAGCAAGTGTCTAGTAAAGAGGGTAATGGTGGGATGGGTTGTTTAACAGGGACAGTGGCCCAGCAGGTGTGGCTCAGTGGTTGAGCATCAACCTATGAACCAGGAGGTCACGGTTTGATTCCCAGTCAAGGCACATGCTGGGGTTGTGGGCTCAATCTCCAGTGGTGGGGCATGCAGGAGGCAGCCCATCGATGATCCTCTCTCATCATTGATGTTTCTATCTCTCCCTCTCCCTTCCTCTCTGAAATCAATACAAATATCTATACTAATAAAAGGGTAATATGCTAATTAGACCAGATAGACCGAACGTCTTCTGGATGTCCTTCTAGACAAAGCCACGGTGGCAGGGGCTGAGGCAGAGTGGTTAGGGGCGATCAGGCAGGCAGGCAGAGGCAGTTAGGGGTGATCAGGCAGGCAGGAAGGTGAGTGGTTAGGAGCCAGCGGTCCTGGATTAGAGAGGGTGCAGGCCAGACTGAGGGACCCCCTCCATGCATGAATTTCATGCACCGGGCCTCTAGTATATATATATATATATATATAAAGAAGGCCTCTCTTCCACGGCAGCCCCTGGGCTGGCAACAGTCCCTCTACCCTCTCGCCCACTCCCACGTATGGACCCCTCAAGGCAGAGTTCCAGGCCTCATGTTGGGCACACCTGGACACCTATGAGCCTCCCCTCCACCCCCCAACTCTGCGACCCCGAGCATCTTTGTGCAGCAGCCCACCAACCTGCCCTCTGGCAGCAGGAGCACCGCCTTACCAAAGGCTCAGCGGCCTCATGGAGGCAGCACCCTCTTCACCCAGCCCCTGGGGGGGGGGGGCGGGGCTTCAGGACGTTGAAGCAAGCCTGAAGGGTTCTCACGGGCGCAAGCTGTGTCCAGGCCGGGTCCGGGTCCACAGACGAGTCTCCGCGGGAGGGAAATTCACAACATATTCTTCATTTTCATCTTTTAGATGCAAGGTCAATGAGAAAGTAAAACACACATCTTTTTGCTGCCTTACCAGTGTTGTCTGAAACCGAGAGAAGAGATTGAAATTAATGGCTGAAACGAGATAGTTTTTGTCTTCACTTCCTGGTATCACATCACACAGAATCTAAAATGGTCAGGACCACCAAATTCAAATCCAGAGTTGTGGTTTAAGCTCCTCTGCTTTGCATATTGTGTAAAATCAGAACGAGCTATCTAATGATCTGACACACAGCGTATCCACAGTGTGCTAAGTTCAAAGATTATTTTAATAAAAGGAATAAAAATAGGCCAAAAAAAAAAAAGGATGGTGGCTGAATTGAGGGGAATGAACCGGATGTGGAGAGTGAGCCAGGTGTGTGTGGGGGTGTGGGGGTGGCCAGATGTAGGGCGTGGGATGCAGATGATAGGGGAGAGGGCCAGGTGTGCACGTGGAGGTGAGGCAGAAGTGACAGGATGAACTGGAGGAGGGCGACAGGTATGAAGGGGATGAGCTAGCTGTGAGGGGTTTGAGAACAGGGGCTTCAGAGGGTGTCTGTCCCTGGGAAGGGATGATGCAGCCAGTGCAGGAAACACTCGGGGCTCGAGGAGGTTGCTCATTGCTGCCGAGCTGGGAGGAGACGGCTAAAGCTATGGTGGCTAAAGGATGCCTCCCCCTCCCCCATCTTGAACTTGTGTCTTATCCCCTCTGGGCCTTGGTTCCTGCTGTGTCCTCACCTGGAATGCCTGCCACCCTACCCGCCTGCTGAACTGCTTAGTGGCCCACCTCAAATGCTCCTCCTTGAAGAAGGCTCCCCTAATGTCCACTGCCTTTTCCAGGTTGTGATTAATCACTAGGCCCTGAGCACATACATCAGAGTTATCTCTGGGTTAAACTTTGGGTTGGGGTGGCCACAAGGGACAGGCTTCCCTGCTGTATGGAGTTTACATTCTCAGAACAAGCCTGACAACAGGCAATCACATAAACAAAATAATCCCAGAATGTGTTAAAGCTGGGGGGGAGGGGGCGGGGGGGGACGAATTGGGTGCAATTATAAAGTTGAAATAACAGAGGGGCTGTTTTAAATTGGGGGTCAAGAACTGAAACCAGCAGTATGTGAAGGCCCTACGCTGGGGGGGAGGGGGGGGAGGGGACGTTGGCTGATTTGGGAAGCGGCGGAAGGCCAAAGTGGCTGCAGCGAGAGTGGGCGGAGGGAGGTCACCAGGTGCAACTGAATCCAAGGGGCGCCCTCCATGGGTTTGTGGCACGAGTGAAAGGAATGGTCCAGTCTTGGCTGAGCGAGGGCAGAGCGAAGGCGGAAGTCCGGGCAGTTGGGGAAGGGGCTGGCAGCCACAACACCCAGACGGGCTCCCCCAGCTCCCGGGGCCTCGCCCCACTCCGCCCCACCTCGCCCCACCTGGCTGGTGATGTCAGGACGCCACTTGTGACGTCACGGTCGGGCCCCGAGGGGTTCCACGCCGGGGTCCGTGCAGAGGAGGAGCGGCCCTGGGCGGCACGTGAAGCTGATCCGATGAAACCGCTAGCTCCCAAGCCGTCTCTGCCCAAGTTGTTCGGTGCGTGCGCGCCCCCGCGCGGGGCGCTGGTT